AAAAAAAATTATTAAAATCAATGTTAAAATATGACTTATCATAGATCTATTTCAGTCGATCTGATTTTTACCTGGTCATATTGATTTTTTGCAATAATCTATGTAATTTCACTCTAATTGCAGTCTGGCATATTGGCCAAAATTTAAACGTATCTTGATCCCATAAAAAAAAAACATATAATTTGACAGAAAAGAGGCAGTTTTTTAGGTCTAAGACAAAGTAGAGAAACAAGCTAGTTGATTTTCTGCAGGATTAGCTGGTCTCATCAGAGGTCAGTGTGCACCTAATTGCAACAAGAGGCTGTTAATGATGTGGACTGCCATCTCACACAGCTATCAAACTCTGCTCTGCATTCATCTCACAGCATCTCTCTTTAGCTCTAGCCTGGGTTAATAAATTGGGTTGGGGAGAAAATGTTTCACCCTCCAAGATGGTCACTAAACTGCTTGACAAGTGTCTGTTCTGAACTGTGACCTCTGAACAGATAACTGTTGATTCTGAGAAACAAAATTATCTTGATGAGGCAAGAGTGACATGATTTTTCTTCTGTAATAACTTTTCTCTCAGGAACTCACTCCTCTTGGCTTGTCTCCTTCCATGCACAGGAAAGGAGAAACTGTACTAGTAAAAAACCCTCAACATTAAATACTGGAGAGACACAAAAAGCTCATTTCTAGACCTACTGGAACAGAAGTTAGAGAACATTAATCTTCTAAGACAAAATTCTCAGGTTAACATCTCTTGCTAAGGATTTTTAATTTGGAAACTCCTATACATGAGAAATAACTTTAGTTATCATTAGAAAGTATTTTACATGACTGAAGAGGACACAGCTTAAACATATTTACTATAAAAATATATAGGCTAAGTGTCTCAGGAATAATTATCATCTTTTAATTGATCTTCACTTATGATTTCCACCTGTGCAAGTAAGCTCAGAATCAGGCCTCATGTCTAATCTCAACATATTTTCAAGCTGTCCTTTAAGCAATGATTAAAGGCCAATTTTAGGTTATTGTCAGTACTGGGTAGTAAAAGGCCAACAGTAGCATTTGACATTTTGTGAGGCAATGCTCCTCACTCAATTATTTAAAAGTACTGATTATTCAATGCCATACATGTAGGTGATCTATATTTTCTTCTGCCATACTAGTAGCCACCAGCCATGCTCACTGCAAGGTGCTAAAACAAACTAACCTTCCTTTGGCTGCCTGCACCTCTCCCCTTCTCCCCCATGCCCTCAGTGTCTGACACCACATCCCTTCAATTCAGCTAGCCCAGGTTTCTACTTCCTCCTGCATTCTCCAAGCTCAATTTATCTTCTTCTGCCATAAAAACAGATTTGCTGTAGGCAAAAGTGACTGTACCTCACAACAGGGCAACCAATTCAGTCTCTAGTTTCAATCATGGTAATCAGGATCTGATTATCACAGCTGAGCAAACACCCTGATGTGAACAAACCCCTCCCTTTCAAACTTAAGTATTTAGTTTGAAACCTGTCATATTTTCAACACAATCCCATGACACTAAGAAGATTTCCTCTGGTGTTTTTTTTACACTGAGGAAATCTGAATATTAGTTTGGTGCTGGCAAATACAGAAGCCTTGAAAGTACCTCACACCAACATGAACTATTAGCAGATTTTACATTAGTCAGAGCAAGAAAAATTTTCTTTGAAATGTGAAGAACATCTGGTGAAGATCTTTTCTGCAGATTTATTTTTATATGTATGAGCATTTACATGATCTGTCCAGCAGTATTTAGTTTGTGGTTTTCCCCAGGTGCCTGTAGCTCTGTTTGGGATGTACTCAGCAGCTCTATATCTTTAGGAAAGCCAAACAGGAGGAAAGTAGCAGGAGGAGCAAGAGGCTCCCATTCAAAGAATTGTGCAAGATCATTTCTTTTGGGATAAATTATTCCTGACCAAACAACAATCTGACTGTGACTGTGTGAGCTGTCAGGCTACTGTACTCTACAGATGCCAGGTATCTGCATCTGTTCACCCTTCTACACTCCTGCCACTAAAATATCTGTGCAGACTGCAAAGCCATGAGCTACACAGACAAACTGCACATGAACACCCTTAATTAAGGTTATCTTCACTTACAACTACAAAGTACACACTGGGAGCAAAGTGACTCACACATCTAACACACTGCACATACCTTGCAATTACTCAGATATTCCTTTGAAGGCTGTTTTAGTGAGGGAGACCATGACAACAAAGCTAGGTTAAAAGAAGTATTAAACTTCCACCTGGCTGCCCACCAGAGATGCTAAAATCCTCATCAGGTTAGCATCTTACTTTTTCAATAGGAATATTTCTGTCAAGACATCCAAGACAGGGCCCTGAAAAATGAACTCTGGGAAGTCTAACATCAAGTAAGGACACTCCCCAGATACTCTTTTAGAGGTTTCTCTGCCTACCAAAAAACTGGAAAAAAATGAAGTCTCCACCTATGCTTCAGACCCTCGGTTCAAACACACTTTATCAGCACAGCAAGTCAATTTTCCTGCCCAGGAGTACAAAAGTGAAGGCACAGAACCATTCCTCATTCTTTCAGACCCGCTCTTAGGCTTTTTCCCTCGAGCAGACACAGATAATTCATCCAGGCTTCATTTGGCAGAGCAGTTAATTTCAGCACAGACTGTGAATCTGCTAAACTAGTAGATTTCAGCTTGGTACTGTGATGGTTCTGTTCTGGTTAATGTTCTCTGATGATTGCTTTGGAGGTAGCAGCAAGGGGGTAAAAGAATGAACCCGTAGCATTTCAGGAAGATAAAGAACCAAGAAGAATGGCTGCACCTATAAGAGTTAAAACTGAAGAACTTCAGTTATGACAATATTTAAAAATAAAACACAACAATATCACCACCTCTAGACACTATCTCATATCAAGCTTATGATCTCTGGTTTAGAAGAAGATTTAAAAAATTGCAGGGAGCTTTATGAATAGCACAGAAAGCTGTGTATCAGAAATACACAGGAAACTGGGTGGCAGTTCTCCATTAATCCTATCAAGATTTGGATTTTAGTGCTATTTTGATTTTACATTAAAAACTCTTAACAAACTAAGAGTGTGAAATGAAAGGCTCATTTTCATCAGTAAGCAGTTTGATTCTTTTAAGAAACAAAACAGCCTCTTGTTCTTCCATCTGTCTGATAAAGTTTGAACCTAAAACCTGTATTAGTGCCTGAAAGACGAAGATTTATCATGCAAGAAGGTAGGAAGCTTTTATATGCAAGAGAAGTTGCACTAGCTTTACAGGTCTTTATATTTTCAGCTCAGTGATGTTTGAAAAAACAAATAGGCATTTACCATAGAGATAAGCCTCTAGAAATTATGTCTACTTGTGCAGCAATAAATTAAATTTAAGTAGCACTCTAAGAGCAAGTGAAGATTTGACCTTGGGATAAAAAATTAAGGAAAAAAAGAAGAAAAGAATAGTAAAATAGGTGCATGGATAGTCTCTTTTCAAATTAAATATAGATCCAGTGTGTCTACTAAGTCCACCATAAGTACATGTTAAACAAGGATTGCTGTTACAGTATATCCCATATGTGTAACAGGAAACATCCCTGTATGTCACATTGCAAAATTATTCAGGTGACTGCAAACACCAGGGGCTACTCTCTCACCTGATGTAAACAGCACATGGCTTTGATGTTAAAGGACCCGTGCAAATTTATACCAGCTGCGCCTGTGGCCCTTGCTGTGCAAACCACATATGCGTGTAGTTTTATGGACTGAGCCTGATTAATGTTTTGTAAACCCCTGCATGCATCAGACTTCTTTAAATTGCCCCAGGAGCTGTTTTGGCAAAAGTCAAGGGCGCAAATCTTTTGGCAACACTATGCTCCATCTTACCAATGGTAAACACAATATAGATAAAAATGTGTTCAACAAAGTTTTAGTAGCACTACACAATACTGTATTCCTCAGTAGACAGAAAATTCAACATTTTACACAAATTCTAGTTTGAGTGCAAATGACCTTTGTACAACTTCTAGTTTATCTTAGTAAAAATACTGCACAGCTCCAAGTAAGAAAGCACTTCCAGCTTCAGTGGAATACTGTCAAAGTGCATGAATACACTTGTATCTTTTGTAGCACTAAATGACCTGCTTAAATATGTACCTCACAATTATCTCCACTGTATTTTCTTCAGAACATACTTCAGAGCCCACACTCACAATTGTGCCACCTATAGCATTATGCAAAAACCTGGTTCAACAAAAGCCAGGGAGGAATAACTGAAAAAGTCTACCTACCTGCTCCTTTCCCTCTAATGCTCTAATCCCTTCTCTTCCTTTCTGTTAGAGAAGCGCTAGAGTAGTCTGTGTGAGCACCACACTGTCAGTTCTGGTGTAGCATTTTGTGAAACTTCTCTCACTTTACCAGCAGAGGGATCTTAAGAAGGAAAAATGAACACTTCCACAATAATCCCAATTACTGTACCCAAGTAAAAATGTCATAAAAGCCACATTGCAAACTCATACAAAGCAATGCCTTGTAAGGAGTTGCACACACTTAATTGCTATTAACTCCATGAGAAGTTAATGCACTGCTCAGACCTGGATGAAGTATTTTCAGTGTAGATCACCTCACCTCATTGTGTATTTCTTCTGCTTGCTTCACCACTGCAGCTTCCAGTGATTTCAAAGACAAAGCCATTGAATCGGAATCAGTCTGTAAATTCTGGAGTGCCAGTTCACACTGTCCAAGTATGTATTCCAATGTTCCTCTTGAAGACTATAAAGATACAATAAAAACTTATATGTAGTCACTTCAGAAAATGTGTCGAATTTGTATTTCTCAACTACATTTCATCAACAATCCATGAGGCATGGTGCAGCACATTCACAATTCACATCTGATAAGCTTAGCTGGGAGTTAAGGCCAACCACCAATATAGAACCAAGTGTACCTCAATCAAAAATAAACAACAGCAGTTAATGAAAAGAGTTTGAGTCATAAGCATAACATGAACCACAATTCTGATAAGCCACCACAGTGCTGCATACATGGCACCAGGATATTGGCTTTACAGGGGACCAAACAGTGAAATGGTTTTGGTACTTACATCTGCCACCCTGTGAGTTGAGCTGAACCGAGGTGATAAACCAGCCAGAACACAGTGCTGGTGGGTCATATTGAGATCATCTAGGGACAGATTAGAGAACCTTAAGTACAGGGAAAAATTATACTTAGTAAAAGTTAATCTGGTTGAATATGAATTAAATACACTACTTTTCTTGCTTTAATGCTTAGAGAATTCAGTCACATAGCTCCAATGTCTTGCAGAGCACAATAACTATTTACTATCCCAGAGTCAGAAATATTTCTACTTACACCAGCTTTCTCCTATACAGTTTAGAAGTGGCATTTTCTCACCTCTCATAGGGAAAGTCAACTAAACAAATTCGTTCCTCCAAAGCTGAGGAGACTAAGTATAGACTACTGAGGAGACTAAAGAGACTACTCAGAAGTTGCAATCTGTTTTCCCAAAAGCATTAAAAAATACTGAAAGTTCCTGAAAAAAAAAAAAAAAGCTACAAAAAAAAAAAGAATTTATGAAAAAACTATTTAAAAAAAAAAAGAATTTATGAAAAAACTATTTCCTATAGACACATATGAGGATAAATTGCACAGAACCCAGTGTTGCAAGGGCCACAGAACATCATAATCTCTGGACATCACAATATTTAAATACCACAATCACTTTCAAGAAGAATTGTGTCAGAAAACAAACCTAAATACTTCCACTACCCCTTTCTGTGCCCATTCTTTGTGGCTGTATGTAGCAAACAGAATTTGAAGCATATTAAAAAATACATTTTAGGTCATAAAAGATTGCAGGAAAGATTTGCTTTCTTTTTCTCCTAAATATATATTAACTGGAAAGAAAAATCTCTCTTTGTTAAATTGGCTGTTGTCCATCTGGCATTAAAAGCTTTTATTCAGATACAGAACACTACACCCAGAATGCTATTTTGGTTTTAGAGCCAAACCAAAGCTGTTTCATTGCCTGGTTACCCATGTTGGAAGTACCACAGTGATCTTGTGGGGTTCAGTAAAAACAACTCTGAAGGAGTCAGCCTCAGTTTTACATGACTAAGCACTGACCCATGAGGTCTGCAACACCAAAACAGAGAGTCTTCAGTACAGAATGCAGGCTATTGTTCTCCATATGGGACTCACCTATCAATAAAACTCCTCAGTGATTTTCCTGTTATTTACAGATAGCAGATATATTTTGGAATCTGGATGTTGCATATTCAGTTTTTAATTGTGGAGGCAAGTTCACATGGTACATCTGTCTCTCCCTGCACTGTACTGACATTGGGGGTTTTCTGCCTCTTGTTTTCTCAAAATACATCCCTCCAGCACAGAACTTCATCTCAGTCCTCTCCTCTCCCTCAAACTACTGCCAGCTCCTCCCTTTTCTCTCTGATCCTGCTCTCAGTCCCTGCTCCTGCTCTGTCCCCTCTGGGTTTCTTCTGAAAGATGAATTACTTGGGCTCCATCAGCAGTGCTGAAAGCCTTGTGCTTACACAGCCTTTGTTAAAAGAACAGACTAATGGATTTGTCTGTGTACAAACACTGAAATAACACACAGACTCTTAATTCTCATTCTACTACTGAACTATCAGTGAGCTGAGGAGCCAAAGCACTTCAAGAGGAACAGTATGACACCCATGTCACTGCCAACTATTGCAACATAACAAATAAAAGGTATAAAGATAAGAAATTCTTAGCCAATCCTTAAAGAAGTGGAGGATAAAAGCCTTAAACTTATTACTTGGAGGTAAAGTATATCCCAGGAAAACGGAAACCACAATAAAAAATGGCTCCCAGAATTACCAACAGGGATTTATATAGTCTTTTCTATCTTCTCTAAAGTGTTCCTCATGACCTTTTTAGACAGTTGTCTTTTATCTATTTCAAGAGGCAAATAAAAGGTACAGTGGTGTTTAAAGCACTGGCAAAATCTTTGATATTCTAACCACCAAAAATATCTACAAACAACAGTAAAATGGAATAGACTTTTGCTATTAATTTTCTTAACTACCATTAACAAACAAGAAAACCATGCACAAATAAAAATGAATTAAAAGTCTAGAAATGAGAAAAATAGTGAATTTAAAAGAAATATGTCAGAGTTCTCAAACTTCATGATCAAAGTTTGGTAATGACAAATACATTCCTGGAGTTCTAAGTCTTAATAGTAGGGAATATACAATTTGGATCAAATGTGTACTCAAAAAAAAAAAAAAAGGAGGGGGTGAAAAGCTCCAACACATTCAAGATGCTAGAGAGCAAAGAGGGTTCAAGTTAGTTTGTGAAAATAGAAGCAGATTAAATATCTAGAAATAGTTTAATGAGTCACTTTATACATGTGGAAGTGTTTCCATTAAATACTTAGCTTTAACCACAAGCCAACCTCTGCAATGTGTGCAACCTACTTCTGGTTGGTTATGAAAATAATTTTTTGATGCTTCTCAAACTATAATTTGCTGGGGGTAGGGAGTGGTATAAAATTCAAAGTTCATCTTCATGCTGTTTTAAAACCCTAGCCTTCAAGCTAAGAGCTTGATCTATGGGAAACAGCTGCAGAAAAGTAAGTCTGCCTTTGAAAGAGTCCAGAATGTATTTTTGCTAGAGTATGTTTTGAAGTCATGGTAGGAAAATTAGTGAAAATTGTAAATCTGCTTGCAAATCTGGTCATGTCTAACTCAAAGATTAGGGAAAAAAATTCCAATTTAATAGTAGGACCATGACAAGTCTAGTTAAGCATGCTCTAGGACAGAGCAGATGGGGCCCTTTGCTCACCTCCACGCGTTTTGGATTTATTGCATGCACCCAACACGTTTCATATTAGACACCCCTTGACTGTGTACTTGAGACAGCAGGGTTCAGTGTGCACTTCCTCTGCAGACCAATATATTATTCTAAATTGAACTAAAGTGTTTCCGTTTCATGAGTGATATAAAGTTTAGATTTGAATTTTTAGGCAGCAGACTTGCAGCCTTTCACTTTTTCTTCATATTAAGAAAAGCCTAAAAAATTATTTAAAAAAATCTGTCTTACTGAAAGTAATTTTGAGTTTTTGTTGGTTTTGCTTAATAAAATATAATTATATTATTGTAACAGCTTTAATGAAGAAAGGACGTGATAACCTTATGTTTAGTATTAACATACATCTAAATTATGGCTCATGATTTCATCTGAAGAGGGCTGCTGAGAAGGAAGATGTAAATTTAAATTATAAGACATTTTACTTAATTTCTCCTCAGAATAACAAAAACCATTTATAAAGCCAATGAGGAGAGGAACAGAAACATTATTAAATGTCTACTAGAAATGCTAAAAAAGAAAAAAAAAGGGGTTTTTTTTGTTACTTTGCTATACCAATTGATCTTGATTTACAAGTTACTGTAATTGCACGTTACTGTATGAAATATCCAGTTACCACAGTTTCTTATATAGATTTGTATGTACCACAGGAAATACTAGTGGTATTACAGGTACAGGAATTGATAGGACCTGACTTTTAAATTATAAGCAACATATTGAATGTGATGTTTCAGTATTTTCAACATTCATATAAAGCAGTAACACTACACCACTCCAGCAACTGGAAGAACAGACCTACAGAGTGGCTGAGTTCTGTGCTAGGGTGGGTAAGTCAGTGGTGGTCACAACCAGTCCTCCCAGTCTGATCAGTCAGTGCCTGTACCTGAACCACCACCAGGTGCAGGAGTCTTCCTGTTCTATTTTCTACAAGTCTTGCATTCTGCCACTGCTTTTAACATAATTCCAGTAAGAGGATTCTGCTTACGGAAATGAGGTTCTGGAATACAGCATGTACAAAAGCATAAGACAAATGAATCTTCTTTTTTTATTATTGCCAAGTTTCTTTTTTTACAGAGTTTTCATATTTTGTCTTTCAGTTGTCAACCTCAAGATACCCCTTCTTAAAAGTAAGTGCAAAAAATCTGAACAGTAAAAAAATATACTGGAGCTATATATGTTTCCTTATTTTGTCTTTCACTCTGAGTCAAAATGATAAAGGCAGTTATGCTACACAAAGAAACCTAATAAAAGGGCCATTTTGAGAATACCCTCTAAGACTATTTAGAAGAGTAATTTTTTTTTCCCAAGTAATTGAAAATGCAGGGGAGATTAAAAAAATACCTGGCCTACAGAGCTCAAATCTGTAGCTCTTCAAAAGTACTAATAAGAAAGTGATTTACATATCATCTTCAAAAGAATGTTTAATATATCCTTTGTTTCCATCTAAACATGCTCATGATGTTACTCATTAAATAAACTAACTTTCTGATCTACCCTTCTCTGAAAATACTTTAGTCACTATATAAATTCCACTTGGGAATAAAAAACACCCTCGTGATCTGGTAACTCAATCAACTACAATCTACAGTATTTTGCAATAAAAATACTAAAGTTAGTCCCCTTCTTTTATTAAATACTTTCTGAATCTCTTGGCCAGCATTGCTCTATATGCTCAAAGTTTCCAGTCAGGAAGGATTAGATAAGAAGTTTACTTGATGCCCTAACTGCACTTCCACAAAAATAGCTTATAATAACCTTTCTAGGAATGTTTAGCTGCCACTTAGACTTCATTTTCACTGTCCCTCTTTCCTTCTAGGCTTCTGCTTAATACACTTACAAAAAAGGGAGGCACATGCAGACCACTATGCCAAAGGATCTCACATCCTAACACCTGATCTTTTCATGTCTGAACGTTCTTCAGAACACAGTTAGTCCAGTACTTCTACACAATGTTTCCCTGATGGCAGTGCAGAAGACTTGATGAGATTAACTCAGAACAAGGAATGGTACCTGGTTTTTATGATGGCTTATAAAGGAATTGTTTTTAGTACATATACTGTGAAAGGTAAAGTTCAAAAGACTGTTCTGCCCATAAAACTGGGAGTGTGACAAGTCATTCTAGGGACACTCCACAGAATATGCCTTCCAAGTCATAATCACATAAGCAGGGAGCTCTGCAAGAGCTCACAGTCTTCAAAAATGATGTCTGTCAAGCCAAGACACTAAACAGGCCAACATGATGTTATCAGAAGCCCTGTTCTTGGTTTTGTGTGATTTATAACTAAATTTATTTTAACAAAAATGATAACCAAGAGAAACAGAAGCCAAAAGAGAAAGCAACAGATTTAGTGTCAACAAACCTTAGCTACAGTTCTCGTTTCGTTTCTTTCAATGGATAAACCTTAGCACATGAGCTCAGCTGCTCAAGCAAATTAACTCAATTTAATTTTCTTTTCTTAATCCTCTGCGCTTGAGACATTGAGACTCATTCTTGGAGTAAGACAGCTGTGTTCGTTATGAACTTAGTATAATCCCACTATGAGAAAACAGCATGCTTGAATGTAGACATAGTAGCAGAAGGAGAGAAGTGTCATGTGTAAAACTGGAGACTAATAAAATATCCTCAGATTGGCAAAATGATTGAAACCTCAAGGACTGTGGTACCAGAAAACTTTCAGGCATTCATTCACATCTTACATAATATAGATGTCACTTGATAAGCCAAGCTGAAGAACAGAAATTTATTTGTTGAACACAAGAGATAATGCAGAAAATCTGCATTAAGAATATAAAAATAATCTAGAAATACAAGGATGGGATGGATACAGCACAACTGTTGGTAAGATCTGGGGAAATTCTAGTTATGGCCTGAAGCATAACTTGGACTAGTAATTCTGACTGCACAACAGACAGAAAATGTGAAAAAAGACTATTTCTTTAGTAGCTATAAAGTAAAAAAACATTAAGAAAAAAATTTCCCCAAAATACTTTGGAAGTAGGCAGAGTAGGAGGAATTGACTCTGTACTCCAGCCAAATTTCATGTTTTTCTAAATAAGATAAATCCTAACTGCAAGGAAGGTATGGTAACTTATTTTAACACAAGTGTACTTTTCTCTATTTTCAACAGACAGTTCAACTTTTTAGTCCTTAAAAATTACCAAGCATCAAGTAGATGTCTCCTTGGTGAAGTGGCACTGCCAAGCCAGGTGTCTCTATGTCCCATGCTACCTTCAAGCCTACGTGCCAAACAGCTGGGTCTCTTCCCTTCAGTTCCTGCTCATTGCTTTCTTGTACAGCTGAATCTTGAGAGAGAGAAAGAGACCACAAAAATGAGGGAACAGGTAAGAATCATAAATAAAAAATCTGGTTTAGACTTAAAGACATGCCATATTGGTACAATCTTAATAGGCTTAAAGATTTGAGAGCATCCATTTGCTATTATCGTCATCTCCAAATTCAAAAGTATCCAATAGGTAAAAGAAGAAAGAAAAGCCGTATGAGATCAAGAAATTTTTTGCAACCAACTTTATCAAAATGAAAACTACCAAGTTAACTACCAAGTGAAGGCTAATCAAGTCAAGGCTTGTAATGGACTTAAGGTTTTCTGAAATTCTTAAGCACATGTAAGGGGAGTTTTAGCTAAGCATCACTGATTTTTTTCATTACTAAAACTACAAGCATGGAAGAAAAAAATAAAAAAATACAGCAACACTGATATAACAAAAGATAACTTCTGAAAGAATTTCAAGTCATGAAGTGCCAAAGCATTTTAGGAAAAAAATCATTTGTTTATCTACTTGCAATTTCAACAAATCATAAACTGAGGCAAAGGTGAAATAATGGTTACAAAACACAGTCTAGACCAACAAAGCAAATCTTGGAACAATCTCTGTCATTCTTTTCTTAAAATTACTAGTCAAACATGCTAGATAACATGTGCAAGAGCCAATGAAGCTTCAATACATTTGTCACAACACTTTTCTTATCATTATGCAACATGAACGTGTTGAGCTTGGGGAAAAAATAATCCACTGCATAGAAATAGTATTTAGAGCTTAATCCCTCAGAACTATTTTCATAAGCTTACTTCACTGCAGTATAAATTGAAAGATACAGTCAGCATTTATAACAAGGTATTTGGAAGCCATGGTGTAACAGTTTTACAGCTAAAGCAACAGTGCATTTTGACAGAGGAGGGATGAAGTTTTAATAAGTAGTTGGCACAGAACAGTAGTGAACAGTTAGAAATTAACTATGCACCATGCCCAACTCTTGCTTAGAACTTAGCAACTGTGTCCATTTCACTGTCCACTTGAAATGTGCTTTTATGTAATAACTTTTGAAACCTTTGTCTTAAGTAAATTCTAGAAGAAAAATATTAAAGTTGTATAGCTCTTATTATAAGAGGCACACACAAAGTGTGACCACAAACTCACACTTTTAAAATATTCATGTCATTCATCTCACCTTGTTACTGCATGTTGTTTAGCTGGGGGCAGCCGTTAGAAAATTAAGACAATTTATTAACTATTATATCAATGAAGTATTATCTATATTCAGGAAGTAAAGCCGATTAAAGAGCCAATCTAAATGTTCTTAAGTGAAAATTCTTACAGTCCCCAAGTTCCCTCCCTTCACTGCTGCAGTGCTCATCCAACTGAAGCTCTGGCTCGGGAGCAGCTCTGGGCCCTTCCATCAAGGAGCACACAAATGAGAAAACAAGAGCTAGCAAATACTCAGAAAAATCAATACTAAACTCTTCAAGGGGCTTTCATATTTTCTACCCTGTTCAGATAAATCGTAACTTAATTTAAGAAAAATGTTTTCTGAAAACTGCAAATAGGATGGCTTTCAAGGCATTTTTAATGCAATACATCATGGATATTATAAGAAGTAACCTTTCTGGGTTAACTCCGTTGTGCTGCCTTCCCATTCACTTTGGCAGCAGCACTGTTCACAATATGGCACCAATAAAATATAGAACTACAATCAGAGACAGCAATTTCAATCAAAGTTTCCTGGGGTCTCCTCATAAATCCAGCACCTTTGGAATGTGCTCGTTAAAATGACTTATTTTTTGCAGTTTGATAAATTTTTTATTGCTTAAGTACTGAGTTCAAATACAGCTCACAGTCTCCTTTTCTCTGTATTCTCAATTATTGCACCTTATAATTATCAGCAGCAATTGAAACTGATTGCTCCTAACATGTTATTTTGGTAACAAATGGAAGCAAGCTGCTACTTGCTTTTAAATGCAAGCTACCCTAAAACTGAGAGCAAGGGAAAAAGAGACACCTTAACATTTGTGGCATATCCCCAAGTAGCACTGACAAACTTTTACATAAAAAGAAGTTTTTATTAAATTCTCTGTGACACCTCAAGAATGATTTGATGCTGTATATTTATTGATATAATTACAGTTGCCTTTTAAGTGAAAACATTTGGATGTAGGATGCATCTAAATCATAAGTATTTGAGAATAAGTCATGTGAATAAATCACGGATCACATACCCATCGCCTTAACACAAACATATTTTGTAGTAAGCCATACAGAAATGGTCAAACATACAAGTATTTAATGGTAGTATAACAAAACTATGTGCAGATGAATTCTGGTCAGCAGAGATTTACAGACTTGGGCCTGCAAATAAAATGGTGTAACGAAGTAAAATCTTACCACAACATAACAATACCTCATCAAACCTGTAATTATGGAAGAACCATGAAAGAGAGAATGTAGCTGCAGAAAATTGGCCACAGCATTATGCTTTTAATGAGACAGCTCAGATTTCAGAGATGTTCCAAGCACTAAGATTTGATCTTATCAGGTTTGGGTCAGGGTTAGGTTCACAACAATATGAAACTTGTTTTCCTGGAACTACTTTGGTTATTGCTCCAGAGCACAGAAAGTAAAAGTAGCTTTGAAAGGCTTCTTTGCTATTTGGCCCCAAAATCTTCCAGTGAGAGACTTTTTGATGCTCTGAAACCTAAATGATCTTTATTCAAGTCAAACTGTAATGCCAAATTATATCCTAAATGTAACCTTACATACCATTTCTTAAGAAAATAGAATCACTGCCAACACATTGCTAAGAACAAGGACTGTAAACACTTACTTCAACATTAAATCCAACTGACCATTGTTATATTATTTTTTAAGAGATTGACTAATTTTTTTCCAAAATGTAAAATAATTTGGGCACATATTCCTCAATTAAAAATACATAAATTTTTGGTGTCTTTCAATAGCAATTTATATATGTTACATGCAAGAAGTGAAAGAAGCAGAGCATGCTTTGCTTCTCAGCACCTGATGGGAAAGAAGTATCTACCCAAAGTTATTTCTTCTACGTCATTACTGAAAAGCCATAGTGTAAGAGGTTAAATTCTATTAACATTTACATTTTTCTTGCAACTGACATTCACAAAACCAAAAAAACATAAGATTTTGCCAACAATGCTCTTATCAATTCATGTTTGGAATGCTGTATCCACATAAATCAGGAACAAAAGCAATAAAATAAGAAAAAACAATATTCTGTCATCCCTTCATTTCTGAAGGAGAGGCTATATTTCATCAGTGAGAAGATGTTTAAAAGAGATCCCACAATCCACAACAATTTATTCAAGTGATGATTTCTTTTTAGACAACAGGGATTCTAATATATTATTGTGAAATTTAGTGGGTCACTAGAAATGTGTGGCTTTCAGAACATAAATCAAGCTGGTCAGAGTCTACAAGTTAGAGCTATGACTATTTCATACACTTATCCATTTCTTTAAAAGTAAGATAAAATTTTCTACATACCATTTCTATTATTTCAATAAGTAATATTTCTGTTATATTATTAATCTTAGAAATTATTCAATCCTGTAAAAAACATCTACTCTATGACTTTTATCCATTAAGCAGTAGATAAGGAGGACTACTGTCAACTATAGAGTTAAATTGACTTCGATGCTGAACAACTTCTGTAGTTTCAGGTTTATTTTAATATGATAAGAAACATACATCTGTAGTTCATCTCAATTATCTTTATTCCCAATTAAATTAAATAGCCATCATTAGGCTATGTGCCAGGATTTTGCTTCTAACTTCACAGAGTAAAAAACATACAAACCAGCCTTTTACAAAAGAAACAAGCACAAGACATCCTTGAAGATTAGTCATCACTGCAACTAACAGTAAGTTTGTTAAACCTTTTAACATTACCTTGTCAGCAGAGCCAGTTGTGTAGAAGTTCAAGAGTTAAGTAGGCCTTACAGCAAGAAAACAAACAAGATATGGTAAAGAATCTACAGAATACTACTTATGTAATCTCTTCCTCTCTGAGAAATCCAGGTAAAAGAAAGGTGGACACACTTCAAGTGTTTACATTTTTTTCCATCTCTGTAAGTTTGTAATCTTTGAAACAAGTCTCTACTTCAAAGAACATCTTTAGAACCAACTAGTGCTCTGCTAAGTAATAAAACTTCCTACAAAACTTACATCAACCTGATGGAAAGCTAGTCATTATGAACTTTCATGGATAAAATCCAATTTTTGAAAATGCCCTTTTTCTATTGGATTGCAATTCACTTTTATAACTGCAGCAGGAAATAAATATGGGTTATTAGCTTATTACATTAAAATCTATTTTTACCTTCATGCTCTCAGGTGACAGGATACTTGTAAGCTAATGTGTTATTAAAAATGCTGAATTGGTCAAAATTTGAAATTCCCGCTCTTTGATAAATTCTGAAATATAAATTAATTCCTAATACTGTTAGTGGTAGTATAATTGAACACACATTCTGTAACCTATTCAGTTGTGCATATGCACCCTGACTACAATTCATGCACTTTCATGCAGCACACACGCTAAAAGGAAACGTCTCAAATTTTGATGAGGCCCCATTCTCATCACTTTGCAACCTACTCTTAACCTAATGTAATGTAAGTAAAAGCATCAAACTAAATGTTTACCTTATTTTGTTGTTAGAATTGTGCCTCATTTGAAGTTGCTTTGAAAGAGTTTTACACTGGAAACAAGAAAATAAACACTGATGCCAATTAGACTATCAGCTTGTTTCAATATCTTTATGTTGATGTCTAAATTTCTTTTCTGGCATATTGAAAACTGCTTCTACGCCAATTAACACTGATCAAAGTTTCAAACATGAAATTTTCATTATGGCATCAAACAATGAACAAATGAACACGAAAACAAGTTGTTTCAATTACAGTAGTACCTGTTTTAATGCTATTTAATCCAGTAAGTAGGTACAAAACAAATACTGATATAAAGATGTACATGGAAGTAAAAAGAAAACAATATAACCTGAGTTGTGCATCTCTAAACACTCTGACAGAGCTGCCATAGCTCAGTAAGACCCCCTGACTCAAGGGCTGCTGCTGCTGCTCAAACTCTGACCACCTGGGGATTGTGCATTACAGCAGGGTGGGTCAGCACCAGCCACGCAGCTCTGGAAGCCCAAGCTCCCACATGCCAAGGCTCCCACAGACCCTCAGCGTCCACTGGGGATTTGAGGAATTGGAAGCTGACAAAACAAACATGCAAAACCTGGCAGAAAAAAGAATCAAGCCAGTTCCAACAAAAATCAACATGCTTAATTTGTGTTTTCATTTCCCACTGAATCAGTGTTTTCTCTCAGAAAATTACTAATCCAGTTTATCTACATCTTCTAAGGGAAAATAGCTCCAACAAAAAAATTCTGACCACAACTACTCTTTTTATTATGTATTCTGTAATGATTCTGTGACAGTCTTTTTGCACTACACTGAGAATTCAATGGTAATTCAATACTAAATGAATTGGAGTAAGTGCTAATAGAAGATGTCGGCATAAAAATGAAACATATTTATGGAAAATAAGAAGAGAAGTCAAGACATGACTCCACAAAGATATAACAACATTCTACAAAAAGATGTTGAGATCCTCATGTTTCACAGTTATGGAAGACCTGGTAATATGGGACATATTGAGTCTTTGCAGAAACCATCAAAACATTGACATTATATAGAACTGGAAAGAATAATACAAACATTAATGAGCTTATAACCATCAACATTGGAAGGCTGTAAAGAGAAATTCAGAAGAGCAAAAAGACAATCCACTTCTCTAAAACCAAATCCTCTTGGATGCACTGGGTACAAAACTTTAACACAAAGAGATATTTACTGACACTTCAGTTACAAAACCATACTCCCTCCAATTTATGAACAAGAAGGTCATTGCTTTAGGGATATACAATGACAACCCTGAGCACAATGGAGTGAACTGCTGACACACAGCCGGACTGCAGGACATCTCTCCACGATGCTCCATGGCCATGGCAGGCACCTGAAACTCCCTCTAAAATTCAAGAACCTGACTTGAGCAATGCAAAACCAGAAAAATTTCAAGTAGTGACTTAATTTTTTTTTTATTATAGAAAAATCAGTTTACTATTTACTAAAAGATCCTGCTTTCTCTGTTTTCTCATCTATTTCTAAACTTTACAGAAAAAAATATACAAACTTTCAATTGTAAGTGTATTTATGAAAAAAACCTTGTATTTGGCAAAAAAGTTATTGTACATAGATATCAAAATAACTTTTAGCCTAAATACATAAAATATTTCTATCTACCCACATCAATCAAATCTTCTACAGAATTTGCAGTGGTTTTAAAACATCATAATTTTTATTTAATTTACTGAATAAAAGAAACAACATCAACTGACGAGTCATGAATAAACATAGCAGCTTTCATTTTTATTAATTTATAGCTCTCTGAACTTAAACAGACTCACTTTTTTCCCCCTCCATAAGCAAACTTTATGTTAGAGTAAGAAACTTTTAAGCATACTACAATAAATCCTCATATACAGTATTATTACTTCAAGTTAATGTTTAGGTTTCTTTAACTTAAAATCCTACTTTAAAAAATAGTTATCTACAGTACTAATGGAAAAAAAACCCAACGCATCTGCTTGACACCATTGAAGAAAAGGACAGAAAGAAGTTCATGAAGAAAATTACACTTTTACCAGTCAGGAAATCTCTTCAACTCAATTTGCTAAGCCAGTTGATGTTTTATATCCAGGAAAACGTAAATAATATTACTTCAGTTGTTATATTAAGTAACAAAGTGACACTGAGTTTCAAACTAATAACAAAACCAATAAGAGAATGCATATGGGAGTATAAACTATTATTTTTATATCACAGTCTTTAGTCAAAACCTACTGAAGTCAATGCAAATTCTTCCCCTGTTCTAAAGCAAACACCACAGGATTTTTGGAAGAAGAAAAAATTCATTGTGAATAATGAAACATAACAGAACATTTGAAAATTCAAATCAAGTTTCTAAATTCTAATCTTATGTTTTCAAAACTAAGAGTCATTAAAAAAATATCCAAGCCTTTGTTCAAACACTGTTAGGGGAAAAAAAAACAACAAACAAACAAAAAAATCTTCATGTTTGCTCTTAAATCTCTTAAATAACAATAAAAATGGGGTAGGTACTTTAAACTAAAAATTAAATATTTAATGATGCTTCAACTGCCCTTTTACCATCACCACCCCTAAAATGCTGCATGTAATTCATTTTAAAATAAGCAAGGGCCTGCAAAGCCTGTCAGACAAGACATTTGTTTTAATGCAGTGTCCACTCTTCCCAGCTAGAGAAATGCCAGCAAGTCCTCCATAAAACACACATTAACACTACAGCATGCCTAGACAAAATGCATATATTTCTAAGTAAATATAGTAACACTTCTATCCAAAACCAATTGAAAATTATCTTTCCAAAGAAAGAAGAGTAATAAAATCAGCATAAAGCAAAGTAACTCTGTATATGATAAGTAACACTATAAAAATGGTGATCCCAGCCACAGTGAAACATTTTACAGAATAGAAAACATGCACATGCATTAACCTAAGAAAGGTATTTGACAGATTTTGATTTCCTGGCTCTTAGTCAGGGACTTAATTATACCAATGTTTACATCTAGTTAGAGAACGACTGTTAAGCCAGCTGCAGTAAACACAGGTATTTTGTAGAGTTCTTAGTGGAAATAAAGATAAGAGTTCAATACAAAAGGCACCACACTGCATTCAGAAGCATGTGACATGTCTAGACCAGCATGCAGGTGTGCTTATGCACATACACACCAGGGAACACATGGAACACTCACCTTCACAGCTGTAATTGTACACAGCCACTGCTGACCTTTCCACCAGGTTCTCGTCATGGTGCCAGCTCACTGCCATGTTCCCCATTCCAAAGTAAGGTTCTTGTTTCAAGTACAGCATTTGTAGTGGATCCATATAATTTAATAAAGTCAAATTATAAGATGTTCTATTCTTAAGATTTTTTTCATCCTCTGGTACACAAAGACTGCTTTGATCTTTTGAAACAGACCCTTGCTCCGTATGAGAAGTAGCAAAATTTTGCTTCCTATCTATTACAGCAGTATCTTTAATTTCTTTGTTCTCAAACAAATTTTGTCCTTGTAATTCCTTGACTGTTTCAATATGCAAGTAGTCATTAAGTCTCATTAATGCCTTACAAGCATCATGTATTTGAGGACTGCAATATTTTATATCATAACTTTCTGTAGGCCAAGGAACTGTAAATAATCTTGTGTTCAAATACTTGTAAGTGCATCCTGGTTTTCCAATTAATATACGAGACACTGGAGTAAGGAAGTCTTTTCCTTTGATCCTTACAAGATCTTGAAAGAAACAGTTGTGTTCTCGCAAGGTCAGAAAGCTTTCTTGTACCATTTGATGGAGCTCTTCAGGTATTGTATCAGATTTCCTGAAAATCAGCTTGGAATACTTGGTCTTCCACTAAAGGAGAAAAAAAACCCAAACAACAAAAAGAGGAAAAATAATTATTCTTTTTACAGGAGTCAAGATATTTCAAGACAAGGCAAAGCTGTCAAGTTAACAAGAATGAGTCTAGAATGTGGTGAAGATATAGATGCCAGTACTTGTTACTTTATTTTCATATTTCAGTATATTGCACAAGCTGTGGATATGTACCAGTGGCTTAAACCAAAGCAAATCTCCAAGTAAACTCTAGAACAATTCTGTAGAACATACAGCTCATCTGATGAATCTGTAGATAATGCCACTTTTACGTATATAAACAATACAATATCAAGCAGTAAGAAAGTGATTCTTCTTTGCAATGGTTGCAAAGACCCTTCAGTTTCATTCTGATGTACAGAAATCTAGAGGGCTACATGATAAACTCAAATAGCTTTATATAACAATACTTTTCAGGGAAAAAAATAACAAAACCAAAATGTCCATTTTTTAAAAATGCACTGTGCTGCTAACATTCTGGTGCTTTCTATTCTTACATTCCTCAGTACCTGCCAATTATCTCTCATTTTATATAAAAGCTCTCTTTTGGTAACAGAAAATGTCCAAATTTATTTGCCCAGCTCCCTACCTGTAGTGTCCTTTTCCCTCTTGTGACCACACCAGCTCTGGTATCAGCTGGAGTTCAGAATCCAGCAGTGTGTGGAGGCAGAAACTCCCAGCAAGGTATAACACTGCTAATCAGCAGCTTCTTGCTTTGTATGCACAATACTGCTTCCCACTCCAGGAAGGCTTGGATAATTTTATTTTGTTAATCTGGTTGTCTAAGGAAATGAGTATCACATAATCACACCTTTTATTGGTTGCCTGTAAATCTGCTTTAACTACTGCTGAGAGTGTTTGGCAAACTAGACAAAAGCTAGAGAATAAGTTTTTTTAAAGAGTGGGTTCTTACATATTTTATTAAAATTAATAGATAAATAAAAGAAACAGATGCACACTAATGCCCTAGTAAGGGAAGTAATGTGAGTGTATTAGGCATCAATTAGCATTTGTGAAGCTCCTAAGAACTCACCATACCTATTGCCTTTTGTCCAGAAATTAGTCAGTAGTTTGGAGAAAAGGTAGGTACTGATGGTGGTGTGGGGACACATATTAAGGCAGACTGAAATCTGAAGGCATTAGGCAATGGGGCAAGAGCACATGGATGCATAAAACTGATCTGCCAAAACTTTTATTAGTCTAATAGCTTATGTTCAAAGTGCTCTTAAAAAAGACAAATATAAGTCACGGGCACAAAACACCACACTGACCTACAATCCATCTGTGAGCTCCTTCTGGTACAACTCAAACCCACTTTACTAGAACTATCTGCTTCCAAGTCTCAATTGAACCTGCCTTTCAGGAAATTAATTTTAAAATCCAAAGAACGTGCCCTTAAAAAATACAAACCAGGCAATAAGTATTCACATTTTCCACTGCATGAAAACAGATTTTGCATCATAATGCACTGTTTTCCTATAACACAGAAGAGCTAGCTTTATAGGATCATTTGTTTCCACTAAAAAGAAGAACATAAAAGGAAGCCTATTTTAAAAATAATGATTACATATAATAAATCTTGGTTTATCTATAAACCTTGCCACTATTCCTTGTAAATTTTTACAGTGAAGCTAACTCCTTTTCTTTATACATTCTTATGGTTCCAAAAACTAGCTTCCTAGAGAGAGGAAAATAAACCCCTGTAACAGTATCTACAGATAATAATTTCTGACAATTGTATCTACATGCTTAGCTTCAAACACTAAAGCTTGAAAACAGTCCCAGATCTGTGTGAAGGACCCTCTACAACCTTGAACACAGGATCACAGCTTTCATACAAAGTGAATCCAAACTTGATAAACTATATTCACCTGAGCTTGTCAAAAGCCTGAAATGATTCCTTTAGAGGTCCTGAACTGCCCCTTTTTTTATTATTAGTGCTGTGTATCTCCAGCCTTTGAATGGTACAGTGAAAAAAATCCTTAAAAACTACTAATGAAATCAGTAACTGTACATATATATTGGAGCTATAGGCTACAGTCAGATGTGAAGGTACAGGCTGATGGGAGTCATAAATATTCTTTCATAACCTCAATTAAGGATGCCAGAATATTATATGTTATGACATCTAAAGATTATTACTTCATTATTTCTTTCATAATGCAAATGCTCAGTATGAAAGAAAGAGCTCTAACAGTTCTATAGCAGTATCCCAGTATTTCTTTAAATAATTCTCTATACTGGACATACTCATACCACATTACATATGCTATTATGGTATATTTAAACAGTCACTAATACTATGTATTTTTAAACCATTTATATGAAAATATAAATACATTGAATTTCTGACATTAATCACACACACAAAATTCCAAGCAATTATTAGAAACAGAAAGAGGGAAATAACAATATGATGTAAAGCAATTAAATCCCTGAAAACATGCAGTAGAAAGGAAGAACACAGATTTTACAAAGGAAACAACATTGTATTCCCCTCCTGAGCTGCAGAGATAATGCCTTGCACATTTTGCTGCCAGCCAAGTCAGAGGCCTGTTACCTTTGGGTTGTGCTTTAAGATCACATGCTTAAGAACTATTTTATTATTAAGGTATCTTAAAAGAAATCAGGAAGTGGAAACACATTTCCGACACATCACATGAAAACAGCCTGGTCTTCTTTAAATCCCCAACCAGTGCCTGTGCTGTGCCCTCCATAAGGAAAGAATTACAGGATCAGAACATGGGGTGATTGCTGGGTTCACACTGGACACCTTGTTGTTTTGGGGGTGGGCAAGGGCAGTAATCATGTACTCTGTGCTGTAACTCTGACAGGCAGTATTAAAGGTCAACTCACTGTTCACTCTGAAAAAAGTGACAGCATTACAGGCAACTACAATACAGGGAAAAAAAAAAACAACCACAGTTGATGTTCAAATCTTCTTGTGACTATTACACACAAGATTTTAAATATTCTTTCACTATTGATGGTGATACTCAACATAAAGAACCACCCTATGGACTTGAGTGACAGAATATAGTTAGGAATCAGCAATAAGGACCCTTGATAAGCAAGCTGCCATGTACTTCATGAAATTATAGTGTGCACTTCAAATATTTGTGAACTACCTTGTTACAGCCCCTTTCTTGTTCCATACTGGCTTTAAACGTTACAATGTTTCAGCTTATGGCTTGGGGCCCATTTCCAAAATCCTTTATCAGGAAAAACACATTGAAAGAGGATGTCAGTAGAAGTTTTGTTTGTAATGGAATTTCTTCTGTTCAGGCTGTACACTTCCATAGCCGACAGGATAAGACAGTATTTTTAGCTGCATCCTACATAACTTTTCCAACATGTTCAAATAATACTGTTTCATAAGAGGTAGGTCCTTCAAGGAATAGGGCAGGTCTGTCCAGGAAAGACAGGCTATAAAACTAAACCGAATGTGATATTTCACTCTGCTGATTTGTTGTCTTCAAGCTCTCACCCTTCTTTTCCTCTCCAGCTGTAGTCTATTTAAGCATCATGGAACTGGCAATTTCTACAGCTTTGATTCCAGTAACATTTCATAACCACCACAGACTTCAAAAGGTGTTTGTGATCCTTATGATTAGCCTATGTACTTAAAAATACCTAGCATGCACACATGCACTACATAAAAAGTATAATTCTATTCTTGCAAGAAGAATGTATTGAAAATTTATTAAGGATTGGACAGGTGTGATTTTATTGCTTATCTTGTTCCCATTGTCTTCTATATTTATGGGTTACTGACCCTGAGAAATGAGATGCCACCTTCTCTTTTCACATCAGCTCCATGAGAAGCTGAATTTACAAAGATGTGAAAAAGAAAGAAGATGCTGGGCACAGCAGCTCTTGGCAGCATTAGAGGCAGAAGAGAACAAACAGGAGGAGATGTAATAGGATGAGGTAGGAGAGAGGTCAGCTGCCCACTTCTTAAAAAAGGGAAGAGTTTCGTCATGAGCGTTAAATTTAAGACTGAAAAGAACATGTTTGGGTTTTTGTGTAAAGAAAAAAGAAATTAAAAATCCATCTGTATTATTCTTGTAGATTCCCCCAGCTCTTCCACATCTTTGAGCCATGTATCAACACAAGGCAGGCACCACTCCTGTGTCATGGAATGTCAGCATGGTCACTGGAGCCCTTCAAAAAACCAGGTTATTCCTTATGCTTTTTCTCTTACCATGATGCAATTTGATCTGATTGAACCTACCCTGAGTTCTGTAGCTGATATAGAAAGATCCAAGACAGATGTAGAAAATTCATTTATTCATTATATTTTTGCATATACTCACTTGGTTTACTACTCATGTGGCTAACTGTGTCTGATCTTACTTCTGCTTGGTTTCATTTGAGGCATTCCAGTTTCCACAGTTTGTTTTGTAAGCAAAGAATTAACAATTACTTATTGGTGGAAAGTAGAATTAAGCCTGTCAAACTTTAAATTTCTTTGTTAATCTTTCCCATATTTTGCCAAACAGGAGCTATAAAGTTCTCTTCTTTAGTCATAAAAAATAAATTAAAATACTGGTGACATGCATTTTGCTTCAGCAAAGCATGAAAAATTGTAATTAACTGTTATACATTACTTGTAGTGAGGGCACACACATAAAAATAAAGAAAGTTCACCAAGTTCTCATTTGTGAACATCCCAGTTCTAGAAATCTTCTTTCACACCACCTGGAAGTGCATTATCAGCCATCAGGATACCTTATTTCATATCAGATTTCACAGTGTCTCTTTGAAGGAAGATTTATTTGTTCAGTGCAAACAGCCATTTTAGTTTAAAATTATTTAAAATAAATACGTTACCAGCTGGTGGAAATCAGCATCGGCTGGTGTCAGATATGGAAGTCTATTCTCCCCAAGTTCTTCAAGAAGCTTTTTCTTCTGTTTTGGAGGAGCAAAATTGAAACAGAAAATTACTTAAAACCCAAGATATAAACAGAGAAGTATAAAAGTAGTTGTATTTAAATGGCAAAACCAGGTGCAATTACTTCTCTTACTACCCTCAATTCTGGAAAATTAAATAAGTAAAACAAAACAAAAAAAAAAATCAGGGGAACTTCTCTGCTTAAAAAGTAGTAATTTAGTTTAGGTAGGTTTAGAGCCCATGAGTTCTTTTAGTCCCAAGTTCTTTCTTAGATATCAGTCCTTGTTACACTGATCAAAATTCATCTCAGCCTTATGTTCTTCAGACCTATGCCCACTTTATAACTACACATTAATTTCTTGTTTCCTTTCCATTTTCTTTTTTACTTCAATTTGTGCAGCCAATCAGTACAAAGCTCATCAAATGGCTCAATAACCCACTTCATTAAAACAATAAGCCCCAATGTTGGGGGTACTATAAAATATTCCCTGAAATAGTTTATGAAAGAAAATAAATGCACAATTTACTGTACCCCAAAGCCCCCACAGCCTGACAATATTTAAAATGCCATCCTCAAGACCTGCCATCCCAGAGATAGCCATAAATCCAGTCTGATGTTGGGAGTGTACGAAGAACCAGCTGCCTGTAAAAAGAGATTTCTTCTGTCCCCTTGTTCTCTTAACTCCATTTTTACTTCTGGCTTAGAATGAGAGCTTCTCCACCAATATTTAGTCAATGTGACAAAAGCCTGATGTCTCTTCAAATTGTATTTTTCAGGTTTTTATTAACCAAAATAGATTTTTTGTGTTACTATACAATTAATTGTGTTAATGATTTGACAAGTGTAAGAGATGGGTGAAATATGCCATCAGAATTTTTGGAATCAAACAATCCCGATCCTTCACACTTATCTACTCGCAGACTAATTCAACACTAACTCGGTATAAGTACAGCTTAACCACAGTGTAAAAATTATTACAGTGGAAGTTCTGGCCTAGAAAATTAATAAACTCCTTCCTCTACTACTTCTTTCTTTTAGCTTGTGAGAATTGCTTTTTACAAACTTTTATTACTAACAAATTTTTACTTACTTATAACTTAAAGATCATAAAACTGTATCTGCCATAATGCTTAAATATATAACAGGATTCAAATTCTTATTTTTATTGCAATATTTTCAACTACATAAACACTAGCACAAGAAACAACTCAATATTTTTATGTTGTAAGAGAAAGACCAGATGGAAACGAAATATTGTTTTTAAAAGAATATTAAAAGTATAATACATGGGGAAAGAGTAAGTAAAAAAAAAAGGTACGACCAACACTTTCATAAAATGAAGTTCAAAACAAGGTGAAACCAGATCTTCGCTATTCTGGCACTAGTATTTAAAAAAGGAAGGGAAAACCTTTCATGTAATTAACTAACTCCTGCATTATAGCAAACACATCAACAAGAAAAGCTGAACTATGGAGTATAACTGTGCATTCTGTGACGATGAATTCCATTTATTCAAATTTAAGCATTGAGAAAGGCGACAGGCTTAAAGTCAGGTGGAAGTGTAGAGGATTTTAAGGTTCATAGATCAGTCAAACTACAATCAGAGCAGGTGGCTCCCACTCATCTCCACACTCACCCTGTGCTGAGCACCAATTCTTAACAAGCCTGAGAAGAGCAGCACTGACATTTCTGAACTAGTGGTGTAATTTCTTTATGTCCTCAGTTTTCTTTGGGGACAGGTTGATGGGATGTTGACATGAAGTCATTGGTGAAACCCAGCATATTGTAACTTCAGATTAAGTTAGCAGAAAATGACACACTGATTTCCTGCATTTTCTAAAACAATTTCACTCCTCCATTACCAAAAGCTTGCCAGAATTTTATTACATGAAATCGCCAAAAACATTAGACTGGCTTTGTTATCTGTGAGATAAACCATATTAAACTGCAGGGAAAGAAATAAAATATTTAAACATGGACTCGCATCTCTGGGAAGAAAAAAAAAGCGGGAAGCAGAGAGATTCTGACAATTTCTTTGTCAAGTATCAGGCTCTTGGCAAAAAGCACACAACATTAAAATGCACTCCTGTGTATAGGTGTAGTAGTTCACATTTGATTGTCAGATCTGGCTAAGTGCCGCTCTTCAGCTTGATGTGCAGACTAATACACACAGCTGGGTGGTAGAACATGCTGCTCATCTCTTATGCAAGAAGCTGTCACACAGATGTCAAAAACATCAAGCTGCTCACAGATACCTCCAAAAAGTTAATAAAAAAAAAAAAAGAAAACAGAGTATCTGGCGCTAGACCAGCTGGCTGATGTGAAAGTCTAAGCAGTGTTACATAAGAATTGTTTATTGGTTCTCTAAACCAATAACCCCCTCAAAAACTAAAAAAATGCCTTCACTTGAAGGTTTCAGTCTTTTGAAAAAATGTTTTTCTAAATCTGATTTTTAAATTTAAAAAATTGTCAACAGCATAACAGTTTATTTAGATGTCAAGATTGTGTTTTCTATGTTTTAAAAAGCAGCATCATTTTTACTCAGACATTAGTGATGCCAACATATGAAAGACAATCTGATATGCACCATCCTCATCATCACGCACTGCGCTGCTTTAGAAACTTTATTAAGTGCTCATCTTGGACCTTCAGAAAGGCAAAAACCTCTGTAAATACTTATTTTTTGGGCTGCTGTGAGTGTTACTGGAGCTATTTAAGTGACTCTGCAATGAAGATCAGAAACACAAATGCCCATTTTTAACTGTACAATGAAATTCTGCAGACATTATATTCTGCTCATTCATTAATAATAAATAAGATCATTAATGAGACAGTTATAAAATTCAGCAAGTGGAATATCAATAATTGGAATCTCTCAATCACTATACATGTATTTATTTATTTTTCCTAGCAAGAGAAGTGGTGCCTTGTATGTCACAGAGCAACCGAAGTAACAGAAACACAGCAAAGAGGTGAGGGTGCAGAAAGGATGGTGTAGCAACTTTGGAGCATCATTTCCACTACCAGCCTATAACAGCCCCTCTGCCTCAACTCCTTTCCTCTGAAGTTCTTAAAACATCACTGATTTTTTCATCTTAAAAAGTTTGCTAACTGTCTGCTGAAGTTTTTACACTTCTGAGACTACCTGGGACCAGAACTAGTAAAACACTTTATTTTTTTTATTTTCTTTTTAATACAACCCGATGTTTTTGCAGAAATTTCAGGCATAGATCATAAAAAAAAGCCACTATTCAAAGCATAAGAATGTATCACTTCCTTCTCCAACAGTTTTTCCCAATAGACCTTTGTTTTCCAAAAGGTTACCAGGTTTAGAATGCCTGAGAATGCCTATTGTCATGAAAGAAAGATCTGAATCACAGTTCAGATGTAAACCTTTGGTTTCTCAAAAATCTCTCCTTCCTCTTACCTTTTTTACCTACATAAGAATGTCCATTAGGGCCTGTGTTTCCCTTCCATTCATTTTTTTTTTTATTCACTTTTATTAAACCTTGGTTTTTTTTCAATTTTTGCTTGACCCAAGGGGTTGTTATTTTGAATTGTTTATTCCGCATTTTTTTAAGGAGGGAGGTTTAGGGTTTTGGCAAAATTTTTTTGGCCCGTTCTTAGGCCCCCTTCAGGAAAAAAGCCATAATTTTACAGGAACTTCCAAAACATTACCTCCTAAGAGCCTTTCACATGTTAGGGGTTTTTATAAAAAGTAAAATTGGGATAGTTTCTTAAGGAAGGAATGTGATTTTGAAGTTGACATTTGTTTAAACTACAAAGCTTTCCAAGTGTTAGCTATTAAAACTTCATAGCTACCAAGATCATTCAAATGGTTCACTAAAACAAGTTATGTCAGAAATGAACCTACAGTAAAAAAATACATCCTAAATGTACTATTACAGCTTTTATTTCTCCATTATCATTATATTAGATTTCAGATTTTTTTTTCTTCAAATTATTTCTGTAAACTCTACTCATCAAAAGGACTGGCCAATTTTACAGCACCATTTACTGACATGAAAATGTTATATTGACAGTCTATTCTTCATTACATTGAAGACTTACCAAAAACCTTGTCTGTGCCACATTCTACAAATACTGGTAGACATATGACCATACTGTATCACTCTGAGTACTACAAGCTGCCCTCCTTGCCCCCTAATATAAATCAAAAACATTTTCATATTAAGGGCAAAAAAATGTACTTTTATCACTATTATTATTCTATATAAGCTCATATTAAAAATATCTATGACAGTCTAGCAATACTTCATGCCCCATATATCCACTTGTTAATTATACTACAATAAATTATACTTGTTATTTAATATAACCACAGTGAATCCTGTTCTTCTACTGAACAAACAGGTCCAGCTATAGAAGTAACAAAATGCAGTTCAAGTGACCTGGGCATGAAAAAAATTACGTAATGAACAATCCACTGCCATGCAAAGACCTCAAGTCTTACATCAGCATCTGTGAGTAGCTGTCACAAAGACTGTTTGATATTCTCTGCTGCAAAGGTACTGTTTGGCTTTGCTTACTAATTTCAACCTCTCTTACCCTTTCTCATAAATCAACAAGCCAGGTTTTGGTTCACACACACAGAGACCAGTCATGCATATGCACAACACACTCAACTGATGTAACTGAACTAAGAGTTAATTTATGCATTGAAGCAGCTTAGCAATGTGTGAAAAATGTCTGCTGCCAGTATCCCCTCTTTCCCCATCTTGAAGTGTTAAAGGTCCCTTAATTGTTGTTTTAACCTACAGGAACATTGTTCCTTTGGCCAGTGGCTGTTAATGGAACAGAACCAGCAATTTCCTTACCTAGCTGAGTGTAGATTTGTCACACATGGATTAGCACTGTAAGCAATCATAATAAAAATGCAAAGTAATAAATAGTTCAAACACAGACACTTTGGGTTGACAAAATGTCCCTAAGGCTCCTCTGTATAATTCTGAATAAACTTCTACTTCTTCTACCATCACTGCAAGCCTCTTGATA